GTGGTGAGTGCTCCAGCTCTGCTGCTGGTGCTGCTGTGCTTCCTCCCATCGCTCTGCCTCAGCTCCAGCTTACTCCTTGAGCAGGTAAGAGCCCCTTGGTCCCTCCTCGGGGCCATGGCACACATCCCACCCTTTTCGCTGCTCCAGCCAGGGTGGGTACCGCTTCCTCCTGTGGTATATGGCCCTGTGCTCTATGGCCCTGCATTGTATCCTGGAGCCCAGGGAAGCAGATCTAGCCTGAGCAGGAAAAAAACGCAGCTGCTGGGACTTCTCCCCACGTGCAGCCAGAGGGTAGGTGAGCTTGCCTCTAAGGAGATTGGTTAAAGCAGTGGGAGCAGCCTGGCACCCCTGTCCCTATGGCCATAGCCTGGACACGGTGCATGCCCGGCTCTGCAGTGCAGCGTGTGCACCCCGCAAAGGCATCCAGCGTGGCGGCAACCCCGCAGCTGCTTTTCTGCTGTGTTGTGGTGAGAGGATTAAAGGAGGGGAACGCTCCCTGTGAAACCGCTTGTCTGCATCTCTTTTTCCATCCCCCCTCCACAGTCAGCCCAACTGCTGCGTGTCCCAGTGAGCCCCTCCAGCCGAGGGCGGTTGTGCTGTGCCCAGGCACTGCTCACCCCCCCCGGAGCAGGGCTGCTGTCCCTGTCTCCCAATCTCTGGCAGCTTCCCAGCCTGGGCACCCACCTCCTTCTCCTTGGGCAGCCACAGGGAGTTCTGCCTGTACCTCTGCCTGCCTGCCTGCACTGTGCTGAGCCCCTTCCCACACCGCCCAGCCCCAGAGGCTCTGAACATCGGCGCCTGGTTCCAGCTGCACAGTTTTGAGTGTTAACTCCCATCAGGAGCGTGCTGGGGCCAGGGATTAACTTTCTCTGCTTACTGCTAATGCTCCGGCCGTGTCGTCCTGCCAGGGCTGTCCTCCACTGCCCTTCCCCTCCGGCAACGCTTGGCTGCTTGACCCAGACAGCACGCCCTGTTCTCCCCGTGCCCCAGCGGGACTCCCTCCCCACAGACAGGGACACATCCATGCTTCCGCAAGAACATCTTTTACTCCAAACACAAGGCAATGTTGGTGCCGAGAGCAGCGGCGGAGCGGGCGCCGGGACCTCCCACCTCACTCCAGAACAACATCGGGACCCGAACCGCAGCTCTGCTCCAGACAGGAGCAACTCTCCTGGGGCG